GGTATTTCTCGACAAGTTTAAATAAACCACTTCATGGCAACCATGCCGGTCCTGCACAACTCATGCAAAATGTGGATCCGTCCTCGAGATTCCTTATAGAAATATATTTAAAAAAATTAAAACTACACATTCATCTAATAGAGATGCACAAAAAACCCAGACTGTTTTACACCTCACCAAGACAAATCAGTGGTGAGCCAGTCAGAAGCTAAAATCTGATCTTTTAAAGTTGTAAAGATAAAAAAAAGAAAGCTCAGAGCTGCAAATCCAGTCTAACTAAGCTAATTATCTTCACAGAAGTTAGATCCACTCACACTACAAAACAAAGTGCTAGATGATCGTATTGGACTCAAATATTGAGCAATAATCCTTCCTCCCAGTTTCCCTCTGAGGACAACACTGACGCACTGTTCACCCAAAGATCGGTACTGCAGTATTAAGCTCGATGTCTTGTTTGGAACATTTTATTCCTCTTTTCTGTAAATGTGATCTGTAAATATGCTTCAAATGTACTATATATAAATATATTTATGCTTTTCTAGCTCACATACTGTTTTTTGCACAGATTGTAAGGCTTAATATTTAAAGGTGTAATTTTCTTATTCCGTCATAGGTCAGCTCTTCTTTTCGATACATTAATTGGGAGGATAATGCCTGTTTTTTGGAAGCAGTACATGTATATTTCTTTGATATACTGCCATTTTCCCGCTGACTGGAAGCACTTTTTTTATTTCTAATAATCCTTAAACCATGAACCCTCTTCCTATTTTCCTAGAATGTAGTCTGAAGCATACAGGTGCTAGTAGGTTGTTACGCTTTTTTAAATAAGTTATTTTTCTTTTAAAAAAATAAGAATTATAAAAAAAACAATGAAATATGTCTATACAGCAAAAGAGGTGACACATGATTGTGTTGTTCTGTGGGCCCAGATCTCTTGCCAGTCAATCCTCTCCTGACGTGCTTCAAAAATCGTAGTTTTAACTCAAATTCAGGCTACAAAAGGAGGAATTTAGACCATAATTTCATCCATAATCTCTTTTGTTTTTTTTTTTGTCTTGTGGAGGTTTTTGCTGAGGAATCTACCTTTGAACACACGCTCAGTCCAAAGATTTCTGTTTGTCATCCTGCAGTGCATAGAAACAGCTCAGTAGATTGTGTTTGTTTTCTTGTTTTTTTTTTTTTTACTGTTGCATTTAATGTAAGGGGAGCAAAAGTTGGATTCTGTATAGTTCCGGTTCTGCTGGGGTGATTTAAATCTTTGTCTTTCTGTGAACCTTACAGCCAGTTGATTTTTATGTGGTGCTTACATTCATTAAGAATGTCCTTTTGAGTTGGAGAAGAGGTTTTATCCATGATTCGTGTTATTTTCATGTCAAAACAACAGGCTGGAATTGAGGAAAAATAAATATTAAAAACAGGGAACGTTGCTCTTCTTTTGACGTCGCAGGAGCAAATCTGGAAAACACACGATCATGATCGCAGGATGTAAAATACTGTTGGGTTTTGTTTTCTTACCTTGTTTCTTGATGTTAATATTGATGTAAATACAAATTTATATTTAAACATTAAAATGTGTCTGGAGTGATTTTTTTTCCCCCCGCAAAAAAACTAAATCTTACCAAATATTTTTGGTTTTGTTTCTACTGAAAATGTCTTAGTTCACTTGAAATAAGACAAAATTAACTCACAAGTAATTTTTCAGCAATAAAATAAAAATAGGAGCTTGTTTTAAGTCAATAATACCTTAATATTGATTAAAAGTACTAGATCCAATAGCAGATTATTGCACCATATTAAGGAATCATTGACATAAAGGGGACCTACTATGGAAATATTCACTTTTTGGATGTTTTTATCCTTCCTTTATGGTTTCTACTGCTTCTAAAAATACCAAAGCACTTTTAAAAATCTCCAAGCCACTTTTTGGCAATAGGTTAATGTTTTTTTGCTGTCTGGAAAATGAGTAATTTCAAAATCCTCCTCATTTTGAAATGCGCAGTCATCAAGATTGTTGAGTCGCTGCACCGTTACCTAGCAACCTGAGTTGCCATGCATTTGGTCAGCTGGTTTTATCACTGTACATGCTGTACTATGGCTGCTGGAAAAGAGAAGAGCTTTATTGTTGACTTTCCATCCAGATATCACTTGCTGCACCGTTGTTGGTTGTACAGGAGGCTCTGCTTCTGCTTTTCAAAGTAGTGTGGCCTTATATTAGCAATATAATGTGTTAGCAGCCATTTTCATGTGTGAGTGCAAACGTTGAGTTTGTGGGTGTGTAGCCAGCACATTTGGCTGTAAAGTAACAAGAGGCTCTAAAGCAGCTCATTCTGAAAGGAGCTCAAAATAGGCAGAAGTGACCAGACTAAAATCTCATCTAAGAATGATTTTGTGCAAAAAATGTAGTAAACATGATTTGTATAGACTTATCCCAAACTGCTCAAGGAAGCCTAATGGGTCACCTTTAAAATAAGTATGTTAGGTTTGTCTTATTTAAAGCATACTAACATATTTGAACTAGAAGCTGGATCAAACATTCTTGGTAAGATTTTATGTTTTTACAGTGTAGTGCTGGATCAGAGCTGCGTTTTTTTCCTTTTAGGAGGAAAAAACTGAAGGAAAAAGGTCATTTTGGCTGGGACTAAAAGGGACCATGAGTGTGTTTGAGTGGATGAGGGGCTATCAACATGTGAAGGGGATCGGAGTGTGAAAAAAGCCTGAGTCATTGTCCATGTTGTTGTCTACAGACTCACTTTCATCTCCTCATTTCCTGTCCCTCCTACATGCGAGACCCGCTCTCCTTTCTTGTATTTTCCACCCTAAAAGGATCTTACACCACTTTTAAGGACTTCTAAAAACCCGACCCTACTACAGTTCAGAAGCTGCTGTATTTTAATTTTTTTATAAACACTCTGATAGCTCTACTACTTTTGAAGTAGTTTTCTAAAATACAAAATATCTTTGTATCAAAGGATGACATCTGATACTCATTCACTCATGCATGACCTTATCAACCTTTGCTGCAATTCTATATACCAGATCAAAAGTGTTAAATTCGTTTGTTGGAGTCTTTTGTGCTGTAAATTATCCTCCTTTTGTGTTGCACATATGCTGTTCAATTCAGGATATGTGCAACATGAAAATCAAACAGACCTGTTTGGAATAACAATAAAATTCAAGATGCTGCAATAACCTGTTTGCATCAATATGCACAACATTAAACAAAAGCTGTTTGCACCTTATGATTTAATTTAAACATTTAATTGTCTGTTTTTAAAACTTACCAAAAATATGATGGAGGATTTTTTTCTTTTATTTTTGCCATAATAGTTTTTTTTTCTGACTGATATTGTTATTCATGAAAATGACAGAATATGTGGAGGGAGTTACAGATTAGGGTGATGGTAAAGAGGCCTTCCAGCTTTAAACACTTAGAGTTTATCATTCAAGGTGAATCAATACAGAAACATACAAAAGGTTGGTCAGATAATTCACTGGGAACTTTGTCAGAGTGTTTATTTTAAAATCTCTAAAGAAGATGCTAAATAAAAAATGTCTAAACTGGAAGCACAGAATCCAAATTTAAAATCTTGAATGTTTCTCCTGTTAAAGAAATTATTCATCAGACTCCAAATTATCCTTCTTTTGTGTCTGGAAGACACAAAACCTTTGGAGTCACCATGTTTGTATACACATGTTTTCCGGCAAGACCAATTTTCTCTGGTTTCTTCATCATGAAATGTGTTTATCTTTGCAGAATATTTTCAGTGCTTCAAAATACTTTGTACAAAAAATGTGGAAATTTGTGTTTGGTTGATTTAGACTAATACTGGCTAAGCAATAGAACGGCATCCCACAGCAATGTGTGACCAGAATAGGAAGGTAGAGCCAGTTTATTCTGGAAAATCTTTTTTTCTTTTTTACTTTACATCATGTTATACTGTTATTCCCTCATCAAGATCACATATGGAGTGTTGCTTTGATTCTGAGGAATCCTTGAAACGCTGCTATTAGCATTAGCTCCGTCTTAGAGCTGCGGTCTCCAGCCAAGCCTCTTCCCACTCAGCTCCTCCAGACTAGCGGCAGCAGCAATTAGCAAACACCTGTTGGAACTGCGAGTCTGCAGAGCTCAGTGCAACGCTGGTAAGAACGATAGTAAATGGCATAATGGAGAAACATTGTTGTGATTTTGTGCTGAAGATGGAGTGTTGGAAAGAGAAAAAGCTTCATAAAGAGACATAGATTCAATTTCAAGTTTCTTTTGTGCGGCAAAGCTAAAAATGTATGAGGGCCGCACTGGAATAACGCGGGGAAATTTTAAACTATCCGACGCTTGCTTCAAAAAACTCCATGCCGCTTCTTTGTTGTTGCAATCATCCATTTATTCCACTTTGATTGTCTGACTTCAGATCTTACAGAATGACACTGACTGACCAGGCCAGACCATCCAATAGTGCCAACAATAAACGGCATTAAACACGGTCAACAGAAATTATGACCACCCCGGCGCACCCGCTTCCTCAAACATAATAAGCCAGCACACGCCAGTATGGCTCCCATTCATACCTTCAGTGACAGCCACGCCCACCTCGACACACCCACCACCTAAGTGTCAAAGCCGTGTGCTCCCGTCATCTCAATAATCATTCATTTGGCTCCTACAACATGTTCGATATTCACAGCATTTTTTTTTTTTTTTTTTTTTACAACTGAAGGAAACATAGTTGTGCTGTAAAATGGCGCTGCTTGGAAAATACGAAATCCACCCCACTCCTTTAATAAATTAATTGTAGGTCTTGTTATATCAGTCATTCTGTACAGAAAATATCAACAACAAAAAAATGAGACAATGGCAGAAAAAAAAGCTGTTATGCATTTTTCCTGCAGAAGCAGCCAACAAGTAACGTTACATCACATAAATAATAGATATTTTCTGCTGAGTTGCTTGGTTCATTTAGTGAACATGTATTTATGACTCTCTCTATCAAAGTGTTCAACAGTTCCGTGTTATGGTTTCCGTGGGGTGGGGGTTTCCTTTGTGCGCGTGCAGCGGAGGCAGGGTGGAGCTGAGGGCGGGATGCTCCGACGGGAACAGACGCACCGCCTGTCGATTGGACCAGAAGCCAAAAGAAGGAAAGCGCCGTGAGAGTCCGCCGGAGCTTAAAGACTTTGCATGGGATTTTTGTGTTTTTGTTTTGTTTTGTTTTGTTTTGTTTTGTTTGTTTGTTTTTCCTCTAGGACGGGAGGTTTGGAGGCACCTGTCCACTTGAGCCGCATTTCCCGACAAACTCCTTGCGAGGCTGAAGCATGGACGCGGTTTTACCCTCATTGTTAATGTTAATATTAATATTATAGGAGGTTCGTGCGACCGCTGCGCGTAAAGTTATCCTTCCTTTCTCTCGTCTCGCTGCTCAGTTTTGGGTTTTCCACCGAGCTTTATGAGTTCGCCGCTGTTTCTGGGTCAGCTGCTCGGGGTCCCGCTAGAAATAATGCCCCCCACCATGGAGAAGGACACAACTTACACTAAGATCTTCGTCGGTGGGCTGCCCTACCACACCAGCGACGCCTCACTTCGGAAATATTTCGAGACTTTCGGGGACATCGACGAGGCGGTGGTGATCACGGACAAGCAGACGGGGAAATCCAGAGGATACGGCTTTGTGAGTTGATATCTGGCTTTCAGCCGGTTTAAAAATGACGCTGATTCACTTTGCTGACTGCAAACTGATTTCTTAAATAGTATCTCAGCTCCTGTCAGGTCCTCCTCCACACACACACACACACACACACACACACACACACACACACACACACACACACACACTGCCACTTTGTTTAAGCAACAGCCGCATGCAGCGTGTCAGATGCTGGCGGTCACATGCTGGCGGCATGAGGAGCAGGTTATTTCTTGAAAGTGTGTCATTAATTATCCCCGTCCTCCTAAACTACAAATGAGCTGCAAAAACACTCCGCTTTGTAACAAGCAGCTGCAGCTGTGGGCAGATGTCTCTGCAGGGGGGAGGAGGGAGTCTTCAGTCTCAGAGGTGTGACATGTCGGTTGGCTGTGCGAGATAAGGTTGCTGTAGTTTCATTATGACTTCCTCCTCCTCCTCCACCCCATCTCTCTCTCTCCCTCTCTCTCTCTCTCTCTTTCTGCCAGATTTGGGTGTTTGTGAGTTTCTGAAAGAGATAAAAGATGAGAAGGAGGTGTGGGTATTGGACTTCCTCTCGGTTGGGCTGATAATTTGTCTCTTAAAGGAGCAGTGTTGTGTGAAATTGACTTTTTTATCTTTAGCTTTATATCATGCTGAAATGTTATCCCCTCATCAAAAATACTTGGAGTGTTGCTGCTTTTATTTGTTCATGAATGCTTGAGAAAACCTTGAATTTCCTGGAGGTTTCAGCTCCTCCAGACTAGCAGCAGCAGCAGTTAGCAAACACCTTTTGGAACTCTTATAGAAACTACTTATCAGTGCAAAAATGTTGTCAAAGGCTTAATGGAGGAACATTGGTGGAAAGAGCAGGAGCTTCTTAAAGAGACAGAGACCCAATTTAAGCCATATTTGATATATGTAAAGCGTTTTTAAAACAACTGAAGGAAATATAATTACTTGATTGTGCTGTAAAATGATAGAATGTGTCAGGAAATTACATAATAGTACTCATCTAATGATTCAATGCTATTATATTGGAATCACTTTTTACCAGTTGTCAGTTTTGCATCATAGGGTTGAATTGGGATGTTTGTCTTTGACTGACTTTATGACTGGATTGCATTAAAATTTGAAAAATTTATTTGAGAAAATTGCAAATTGGAATTTCTTTTAAGTCATGTTTGAAATATATAGGACTTTTATAAGAACTAAAGGCACCATAACTACTTGATAGTGCTATATAATGGAAAACACATAATACTGCCCCTTTAAAAGGAGCTGCAAAACCAAATGCTGGTATGTTTTTAGTTTCACTGCCCCACTTCTTGGTGGTAGAGTCATCTGCAGCTGTGGTTTACCTTGTATATGAAGAGTAGCAGCTCTGTGGGTGTTTGTTAACCTTCATCGGCTCGCCCAGCTTCCATCTGTTCCCTCCTCAGCTCGTTCCCTCAAGGTAGATTCCAGTATCCCATCCTCCTACCCACCACAGATCAGCCCACGCCGGACCCGACGCCTGGCGTAAAAATGCAGATTCCTCCTCTCATCATCAGGCAGAAAGGATGTCTTGTTTCGCTTTTACACAAAAAGACAGAGGAAAAGAGACTGAATTATTTTCTGAACAGATAGTGGTTGTAAAACATTTTCTGTTGGTTGCAACCACAACTTCAGTGTCAACACAGGAATTTACCAACTAATACAAACACTTTCACTTTAAATAAAAATCTTAAAGGTGCGGCGTGTGTTTATATTCAGCTCATACTTTATAGAAACAGCTTTAATGTAATTACAGCTCCAAGTCTTTTACTGATATTTTTGCCCATCTTTCTTTGCAGAATTGCTCAATCTCAGTCATATTAGATTGAAATTGTCTGTGATAAACATTAGGAAGATTTGCCACATATTCTCATTAGTATGGACAAACTATCTCATTGATATGCTTTGATCTAAACCAAGGATGTCCAATTGTTTTGCACTGTGAATGAAAATAAACAAATTGAAATCACTCGGTTGGGGCATCTTTTGCTACAATGAAAATGCAAAAATAACTTTATTGTCAATTTTGGATTTTTGTGATTTAAACATGCAATATTTTCATGAAACAAAGAAGGAAAGAATCATTTATTGCAGGTTCTTTAATTAAAGAAGGGATTGAATGTTTCCAACTTTTTGTTTTATATTTTTTTGGTATTGAAAATGTTTTTTAGTCATATCTCAGCAACAAAAACAAGAACTTTTTATAATAATTTATGTGATATTAAAAATGAAAGTAAAAAGCATGGTTAGTAAAAGCAATGAGACATTCCAAACATTTTCCATGTATAGAAAGTTTTCATCTGCATAAGCTCCATTTGCACCGATCTAAACTGCACATCAATTTATGCCGAGAGCTGCCAATGGCCCCCGGACCTCATATTGGAAACCCCTGATTCTGCTGCAGCTTCGTATGTTTAAAGACTTCCTACTGAAACATGAACTTCTACCCCAGTTTTAATTACAAGATACAGGCTTTTTTCTGTTTGTAGCTTCATTAATCTTCCTATTAGCTCTGACCAGCTCCAGTCATGCTGCTGCCACCACCGTGCTTCACCATAGAGGTGGTGTGTTAGAGTTCCACACTGCATTTTTAATTTACAGCAATGAAGTCTGTCTTGGCCAAACTGTAAACGCAAATCAAACTTTAGCCAAACTTTTAAACATGAATCCTTAAACCTGTCTCACAGAAGTGGCTGTTTTCTTGCCAGTCGTACATAAAAGCAATAGTTTTGGTCTTATCAGATTCTCCTGCAGCTCCTCCAGAGTTACCAAGGATCTTGTTGCCACTTTTCTGAATAATCTTTGCCCAATCTGTCTGCTTGATAATTGACCTGTGAGATGTTTAAAGTTCAGGTAATTTTAATTGTAGCTGAGTAGTTTTATAACCCTATTCTGTTTTAAACTTCCCTACTATGTTATTTCTGACCTTTCTAGTGTTTGTCTTGATATTCCTAGTGCTGTTTGTTTATTAATGTTCTCTTGCACAGTAATTGAGATTGAGAATAAACAAGTGTGGAGTCTTAAGATCATCTTCAGAAATTAAACAAAATAATAAAAATCATGACATCTTTTATGTTTATGCTGTAAATAAAAACTAGCAAAATAGTGGCTTCTGAAACCGTTTGTGTTGTCATTGTACCTCATGTAATGAATCAGTAGTAACTCTGGTATATTTACTAATAATTGACGTTTAGAAAGTCTTCCAGAGTCATTTCTTGGGTCAAAAACTGTAAAATTTGAGAGCCACTGATTTAATAAGGTCCTTGACCGCCACAGATCGCTTGTTTAGATGCTCATTTGATGCTGCATCAGATCTTTTTTTAGGGGAACCAGAGTAAAGGGGGCTGAATACAAAGGCGTGCTTAATTTTTTAGCTTTCTTTCTCTTTTACAGATGTTGAAAACCAGATATCTTATCCAATCTTAATTCATGAACGTTCACCACCTTGTGTCGATTTATCACTGGAGTCTGCAACCTGCGGCTCCGTACCACGAGTGGCTAATGTGTTTAAAAACAGCTCTAATAACACCAAATACACATTTTAGCATTTTTTTCATGGAATAATTAGATTCAATTTCCACTATGTTAACATTAAAAGCACCAGAGAGTTATACTGTGTAATTTATTTATTTTTTGTCATTAGTTTGAATTGAGGCTTATTGAGCTCTTTGGTGTCAGACCCCTGGTCGAATAAAATCCAAAGGAAATTCATTAAATTAAATGTATTTACAGTACGGTTACAGGCCCCCTTTTGTCTTCAGCGCGTGGCTTTAGAGAGTTTTCTGAATGGATATTGATCAGCATCATTGTTTGCAGGTGACCATGGTGGACAGGGCAGCAGCAGAGCGGGCGTGCAAAGACCCGAACCCCATCATCGACGGCAGGAAGGCCAACGTCAACCTGGCGTACCTCGGAGCAAAGCCTCGCAGCTCACAAACAGGTGAGATTACGGCTGAACACGCCTTATTTCATCTGCTTGTACAAATATCTTTTATACAATGATGGTCATTTAAAAACAGACAACACAATAACAAAAGAAGGACTGAATCTTTCCTCTTCAGGAGAGAAGTGTATTGGTAAATTTCAGCTTGTTTAAATGAACATGTTGTATATATTTGATCAAATTAGTTTTTTAAATTTCTGCTAATTGAGAAATATTTAGGATACACTGGCAAGGATAGGAGATTTAAGATGATTAATATGAATATTCATCTTCATAATTCCTCTGTATGAAGGGCTCATACTAACAATATTCTTATTTTCCTTATGATTCAACACACATAAAAACATAGGATTGGTTTTAAAATTGATTTTTGCCTCCATATCAACCTAAGAAGTTTTGCATCTTTTTTCCTCTGGCTTAAGATTGTAACATCATTTATGCATTAAAATCCCTCACTGTGCCTTTACGTCTTATCATGTTTATTAGCTTCTCTTTGCTTTTGAATACCAAATCTTCTGTGCAAGAGTGGTGGTAGTTTCACTCATCTACACAGATTTAAAAAAAAAAAAAAAAAGGGGAAAATACAGTCTCTTTTCTGTCGGATGCTGATATTTGCAGAAAATTATGTTAAAAAAAACACATGGTTTTCAGCCTAAAGATAAAGAAAAGTAATGCATTTAAGTAATGCATTTAGGCATCTTCTGTTTTTGTGATGGAATAATTGGAAGTAAATATTCAATGACAAAAACTACTGAAAACCTGCGTTTGTTGTTACACGTATAATTAAAAAACATTAGTTGGTCCTTTATCATTTTCAGGGAAAGCTTTTAAGAGTCACTGTGGAAGATCCAAAGAGCCACTTGCGTTTCCGGACCCTCGGGTTTCAGAGTCCGACTGTAGAGGCTGAAATGATGGGAAGATTCTTCTTTTCAAAATAACTAAAGCTCGGTCTGATTGGATGGAGAAAGTGTGTGAAGATCGGTTGGTTTTCCAGTCTTACCACAGATGCTCAGTTGGATTCATGTCTGCACTTTGAATGAGTCATTCTGATACCATAATGTGCTTTGATCTAAACTCTCCTATTGTCGCTCCGGCTTTATGTTTGGGTTTTTTTGTTCTCCGCCTCAGCCTGAGGTCTTTTGCAGCTCCTAACAGTTTTCTTCCTTCCAGTATTGTCCAATATTTTTCTCAATTCTCCTTCCTATCACATCAATTGATCAAATATTTGACTTTTCTGGATTTTTTCCCATAGTTCAGAGTGTTGTCAGCCCATCCAGAGCCGCCATCTTGTTTGACAAGCATGTTTTATTCATTTGGCGTTTGAATTAATGACAGAATATAAGGGTCAGGCTAAGATTTATTTATTTTAATTAGAAGAATAAGGTCATAATATTATAATAATACAATTGTAATATTAGAAGAAGAAAGTAGTAATTTTATGAGAACTCCAACACAAAAATGAGGAATGTTGAGCATCTTGTAAAGATACTCATTGGTATAAGATTTTAGTGCTTTGCAGAAATACTTAATCTTTTAACACATAAAATTATTATTTGTAACAGAGACGATTTTGCAAACAACTGCTTATGTTTCCAAGAAAGAATTGCATGAACTGAGCTGCTTACACCAAATCCTGCTACTTTTATCAAAGCTTTTTTCTTCACTAAAACACATGTTTGTTGTAATTTTGAGACATTTTTCAGGTATAACTGCATCTTTATTGTGCTAATATTATGACTACATTGTTGTAAATAATCAAAAAGTCTCATAGCCTGGCCCTAGTACAACTCACAGAAGAGACGATTGAGATAAAAGCCACTTTTTCAAAGTATTTTCTGACACTTGTAATTTCTTTCTGAGAAAAGAAAGTGAGAGGGGGAAAAATAGATTAAAATCGGAAATTGAATCTGTTAAGAAAAAAAATCATTTGTTTAATTTCTAGTGATATCACCTTCCCCTATTAGAATCTGAGCATATTTAGGTTAGGTGGATAAAACTTGGTAAACCACAGGTATGCTTGTCACTCAGCTGAATATATCATCCCCACCCTTACATTTGGTCTTTGCGTCAGCTTTCCTGACGCCTTTTTTTTCTTCTTCCCAGAGATGCTGCATGCTTTCGCTCTGAGGTCTGACCTTAATAACCTCTGTCCTTCGCTGCTTCTTTTAAAAACAAAAATTGGCTTGAAAACAGTCAAGCGTAGGTGTGATTGACAAACAGTGGCGCCAACAACAACTGACTGTGTTGCCTTTATTCTGGAGCCCGGCACTGCAACGCAACTCCCCGAGCATGCAGCTGAAGGGAGATGGCAGCGCTTGGTATTTTGTTATTGTGTTTCAGAGAGGCAGACAATGCCTAGAGAAAGAGGGGATGGGACCGTAATGGGGAAGAAATAACAGCATGTCTGTCTCGTCTTTGTCCTCCCAAAGAACGAAAACGTGCGCGTAAATATATGTTTGAACAAAAGAAACGGTGAAGTCATACAAGCATGGTAAAGAAAAACAGATTAAGGGAGGAATGAAGAAAACAAGTTGCAGAGGAGGAGCAGAGAGGAGGAGGACAACTTTCTCCTTTCTTACTCATCCCCAATTGATTCCTGATGAAGTCTAGAGGCAACAAGGTCACATGTTTGTCAGTGAATGTTGTGCAACTGTCACACACTCCATTTGTGTGACAGTAAATGTTGAGGGTGTAACAGTCTGTGATACCATCATAAGCATGCTAATATCTGAGCGAAACAAACATTAACACTTCAGGGAAGAAAAGCAGCTCTCGCTCTGGATGTCTGTGCTATCAGAAGCTATAAAACGTCCCCTCTGTCTTTCTCTTTGTCTTCCTGTGCAGCTCTTTCAGCTGGAGTTCACCAAGTCCTTCCTACGTGGGCTCAGAGGCAATACGGGTAAGACACAGAACAATCAATAAGGCTGTTTCCACCTCTCTCTCTCTCTCTGATTCGTGACATTTGGATCCCTGCATCCTGCTGTGACTTGGGGTTTGGATACTGTGGCCCTGCAGTGCTGGAGAACATAAACACTCAAAATAAATTATGTCTGTTTAAACTCTGAATCGCCTATAGAGGACTGTGTCTATAAATACACTCTTGAACTGGATGCATCCTCTGTCTGCTTCTCTTTCTGGTCCATTAAATGCGTGAGAAGCTCAATTCTGAATTTCACACACGCATTAGCTGAGCTTCACTGAAGCTGAGAGGAATTTAGTTAAACTCCCTCCTCTTCTTCCCATCGTACACACACTCCTCTTCACTTGATGCGCACTGCTGTTGATATTAAAACTTGTCTTCTGAGGCAGAAAGAGACAGAAAAGATGCTTAGACATGGATAACCTTTAAATATCTTTATTTGACAGAAGTAACATCATACTGTTGGCAATAATAAGGAAAACTTTAAGCTACATGTGCTACCACGCTAATGGTTGCTGTGGCTTTTGTTTTTGAAAATAAAGCACAGATTTGGTGTATAAGACAGTCATTAGTTGTGGTTTTGTAGATGTGCTGGTAGCACTGGACGATATGGTTGAAAAATGTCAGTCGATATCAATAATTATTGATTAGTTTGTTATTTGAAATGCTGCCAAACTGGAGACATGACCTTTCCTCTTTTAGCCACAGTTTCCTTTCCAGCTATTCTTTCATTTTCTTTTTTCACTTCACTTTGTTGTTTTTGTTTTTAAGCAGCTATTAAACTGCTGCTGCACAAGTTACTCAACAGGTTGTTGCTAGGTAACCAAAGAAAGATTGTGTTAGCTGTTGCTAGGTAACCAGAAATTGAGGAAGTTAGTTGATTCCACCAACTTATCTTAGATGATTTCCTGTATTTTCATTGGCTGGGAGTTACAAAAGAAGGTGCTACTCTTGATTTATGCCATAAAAAACAGAAGTAATGGTATTAAGATGTGAATTTCATAAAGGATGCTCCAATCATCGAATTAATGAAAATATATTTCACTTAAAATAAATTTGGATGGTTCCAAATAGAGGATCATTTGAAATTTGTTGAAATTCAGGTGTAAAAGACACAAACAGATGAAAAGAATATGAAATGGGAGACTGTGCAGCAAGGGCAAAAATACTACTTGAGACGGTGTACGTGTGCTCTTGACAATGTTGCATCATAACAGTTTTGTTTTAATGCCAAACATTATTGCTCAAAACAAGGATTGGCTTCATCAGACCAGAAAGCATTCTCCAATCAGGCTTCAGGGAGATTCAGCCACTGGATCCGGATGTTTAAGTTTTGAGAACTGAATCCTTCTTCGGTGCTGCTGTCAGCCTCTTGGTATCTTCCCTGACCAGTTTCAAGCTCGTCTTTTGAATCGTTTTAATGAAATTTCTAGTTTTTTATAATGCTTTAGTCATCTGACACTTTCTATAATCACTGATTACTTTGTGTGTCATGGTACATAGATAATACCGTTGAACTTTTTGTGCTTTTCTCTGGACTAATACCTTTGTACAGATGGCATCCATCGGATCATTTGTAATCATAAACATAGACAGGCTTTATTGTTGTACATGTTGAGCAAAATGCGTGTTGCAAGGCTCTGATAATATTAAAGAAATACATAAAATAATTAATAAAAAGCATGACAAATTGCTAAAATGAATAAATAACAATAAGTATAAATGTAAGCGTCCAATATTTACAGCAGCCGTCGCAGCTGCATCCAAACAGTCGTCGCCATGGCAACAGTCATTGTTTTTGACCGCATTCAATATATGAAGTGATCAGGATACATTTTGATTCTTATTAACTGTTTTCATAGGGCTAGTTATTCTCTAGCTAATAAAGAAAGATGCTTTTCATACCTGAATCTTCTAGTTTTCAGTTATTTGGAAAAAAAATATCTCCCCTTTCCGGCTTCCCACAGGCCGACATGCTGCAGCTACAAAAAAGCCCATTAAAAACCAAAACTGTTGCGAGTGCTATTAATATAGCAGCCCTCAATTTGTGAATGAGGGATGAGGGAGTTTAAGCTGACCCAGATGGGCCTATGAATGAGTGATGAGATGAGGTTTGATAGAAAATCTTCCAGAATGAGGGCAGACATTCGAAACACAGAGGGGGGCTTTGGTCTTTTAATCTCTGCTTCCAGGAAGACTCGCGGTTTGACACCTCGCAGATGGAAACAAAGCAGGCAACAAACATCACCTGGTACGCTAAAACTAACAGACACACCCGTGAGGCGAACGCAGACAAGACACAGAAACACCCCCAGTTCAAGCATTTGGATTATTTTCCTACGGTGTCTGAATAATTGATCAAATACGTGGATTTGCTTTTAACTTTTTTAAAAAAAATGAAGTTAAGCACAAGTTTTTCTATGTTTAAACGAAGTGAACGTTTTGCTTTTAGCGTTAATCTTTAAAGCTAATATTTATTATTAATTAGAGTCCTGGATTTTTATTTTGATTTAACTGGAAACATCTATTAGAGCTACAAGACAACTTTGTGTTTTATTTCTCTAGCAGCTGGACAATTATGATAAAAACTTAACTGAATAAGCAGATAAACATCACTACTGCATGAAAGGAAGTTTTTAAAGAACGCTCTGAAGATAATACTTCCACAGAGTGTGCACCCAGGGGCGCCAGATTATGTTGTATTGTTGGATTGATGAAGCTGAAAGATTGAATGGGTGACAAGCAGAGAAGCAGAAATATAATTTTGGGCTGTTGTTCAGGTGCTTCAGTGTATCTGACACCTTAACTGTTATGAAAAACTGCGGAGAAATGGTGAAGTTTTTGAAATGATTGGCTAGCGTTAGCGAGAGAGAGAGGGAATGGTTTGTCCGTCAGATTAGTAACTAGAAATGGTTTATTCATTGTTAAAACGATTTTTTGTAGTGTTCTCATAAAAAAACATTACTGTTGTTTTTTTTTTTTTTTGATAGAATTAAAGTACTCAGCTACTGAATGTAGTTCATTTCAGCTCCTTAGGATCTTCCAGGGTTGTTGTGCCAAAATCTAATCACAAGCTTAGAGGAAGCATCACTCTTACTGTGGCAGCTCTTAAAATGGATAACGACCAACAGTGCCACATCAGACTGGCTACATAACTGCCTGCTACACCACACGGGATGTTTATGTTAATTTGTGTTTATTTTAGACTAGTTTTTAACTGCATGACTGGTTGTCTCTCATTTTCAAAGCATTCATTGTTGTAGTTCTGTCATTTTACTAAACGTGTGTTAATTTAAAGTGCTTTATAAATAAAGCCAGGTTGGATTAGATTGCATGGTCTTTCTTTCTCAGCTGAGGTTTCTTACCTACAATGCGTCACTAATGTTTCCAAGCAATCTACACAGAATGTGAAACCTTTTGGTGTATATTTTATTTAATCAAAACACTATCTGCAAAGAAAAACCATCTGTGGTTTGGCATCTAGCCCTTAAGTTTGAAGTGAATCATAATTATGTAAAGCAAATGTCTAGAGATGTGGAGTTGCTGTTGCTTCAGAGTTACGTTGTTGGTCCAAACTGGAGCAAAATTTTTAACATGTGACCTGAAATAAAGTTACAGTTTTTGTTATATGTGGTCATTCAGGTAGAGTAGTCTCACCACAAAAAGCTTTTAAATACCGCTGCAGTGTGCTGGTTTGATAAGTCTCTAATCAATCTTTATTTACATAGAAGTGAATTTAATTAAGAGCTGCAAGCCTGAACACAGTTAAAAAAGTAAAGTTGTGAGCAGGACGATGTCTGTCCGGAAATGAGAGTAAAACTATAAGAATCTCGGAAATTAGTTTCTGTTTCTGAATCTCATCTCATTTGCTAACTGTAATTAGTTTGAAATAATTACATAACCAAATATTATTATGTTCATTTTTATAGATCTGGGTTTTGTTTTTTTGTTGTTGTTGTTTTTGCTTGCGTTTTTCCAAGAAAGCATCACCGAAACAAATCAGATCTGAGATCATTTCAGGAAAATATTTCTGATTCTATTCCTGACATTCTTTCATCAGCTTAAGGATGACGTGGCTCAAATTCAAAGATGTAAAACAAGAGAATTGGTTAATTTCTTTACTAATTAATTGCTTAGTTTCATGTATTAGTTAATAAATTCTGTTTTTGATTGGAGGTGAGCAGATTGTCTTCATGTAGCCTAGCAGGATAACTACTTGTGACTCCCTGCTTTTCTTAGCTTCTGTAAGGTTTATCCGTGTTGTGAAAGTGAGCGGAATCCCCCTTCAACCAGACAACAGTTTTAATATTTGTATGTTTTCTTTCATTTTAAAACACAAACTCTGAAATAGACATCGAACAATCAGTTGGTGGTTCACCGCAGTTTATTTATCTGTTGTGAAACAAGAAGTGACACCAGAGCTTGCAACATTGGTAACCTCAAGAGGTCTTGGTGCTGCACAGCTGCATGAGTTATTGGGCTTTAAGAAAAAAAAAAACATTAATTTGTCAATTTAGATTTAATATTGTCACTTCAGATGCTTTGTTATAAATGTAGGAAGTCAATGGTTATTTTAGAGCTAAACCGATGAAAAGAGACATGAGCGAATGTTGACGTTTTAAATTTAATTAAGTAGATTTCAGCTTTCACTTTAAATTCATGTTTAAATATGATACCAAAGAATCCTAAAACCTGTGACATAATAAATAAAAAAATATCTATTTTTTTGTTCTGCATGTGCAAAGGACACATCTGTCTCCGCTCAGATGTTTTTGCTCTGAGGCCGTGTGTGTCTTTGACATGATCAGTATGACTGCAGTCAGTTCGCAGCTTTTGTTGGCAACATATTGGGGTTTTTATCTGAGGCAAAAGTAAGAAAACAGAGCTAAAGGTTCAAGCTAAGTAGGACTGACAACAAAGAACGTTATGAATATTTAAATGCAGATTTATGACCATCAGCAACATTTTTTCCCGAACTG